CAGCCGGACCTGTAACAGGGTTTTTAAGCCCCAAAGGCCGAGGCGACTCCCGGGGTGCTGCCCCCAGCCCTCCTTAGAGCTTAGTCGTGCCACCGCGGGCGTGGGACACGTGCCCTCCCGCTGTCACCGCTCTCCCTCTGCTCTGCCCTCGCTCAGTTCTACAGCGCCTCGGGAATGCCCACCAAGCACCTCTCCGACAGCGTCTGCGCCGTCTGTGGCCAGCAGATCTTTGTGGACGTCAACGAGGAGGGGATCATCGAGAACACCTACCGCCTCTCCTGCAACCACGTGTATCCTTCTCTGCAGGTGCCAGTCCCTCGCCTCGCTGGCCCCACGCTGGAGTGGGCAGCAGGGAGCTCCTGCCCCACGGCTGCTCCCACAGTGGGTGAAGAAATGCCCGTCCTGGGACTTGGGGCTGTCTGGCTGAATTTGCATGTGATCCATGACTGTGTCCTCACTGACTCAGCATCCATGAAATCACTTGGTTGCCACCTCCATGTGCATCACAAGTGGTTATTTCCTCTTTCTTTCCCTCCCCAGCTCCCTCTGCTCGGCCATGGAGCTGCGCCTCACTTTCCACCTGCCTTTGCCAAATCCACTGTGACCTATCTGCCTGGCGGTGGCAGCTCTGATGGTCTGAGGTTGGGACGTGCCCTGCTCTGTGCCATGCTGGCCCCTCATCAGAGAGCCAGTGCAGTGGGTCCTGTCTGAGTCTCCATAAGGAAAAATCGGGGGAAACACTGCTGGCCTCCCTCTGAAAACAGCCCCCAGGTCCAGCACTGCTGGTCACTGCCTGCTCTGATCACAGCCTGGCAGCTTCCTCCTTTCCCAGAACTCCTCCAGGGTTTCCAGGACCCTGGAGTCACTCAGCCCTTCCCATCAGCTGATTGATGTGAAGTGGGTTTTGAAACTGGAAGTCCTGGTTGTTGCTCAGCCCCAGCTGAGACAGGTCAGGGTTTTTTCTCTGTGGTGACTCAACCTGGACGTGGAATGTCGTCTGGCACTGCGTGCATTACTGCCTGCAAGGTGGTTTCCAAACTGGGCCTAGGCAAAGGTCATGCTGGCAAAACTCATGGCCTAAATTTAACTGTTAGGAACTGTTTGTGAGATTTATGGCTGACTCGTGCAGAGTCTGGGACTATGGCAGCACAGGGTTGTGTGGTTGTCAGAGGAGCTGGTCTATGCTCCTGGTGGTCCTCTGGGGTGAGGGCTGGCTGGGCACCCCTGGATCTATGGCTCCAGGGCTGACAAGGGAGTGACTGCTGACTCACTGGCATTCCCCCTTGGTTTGAGCAGCAGAGATTTTCTGGGGGAAGTTTGTTTGCTCAGTGACACCCTTGTGTGTGGCAAGTGGGCTGCAGCCACCTCGTGTTTCCCTGTAACTTCCCCGGGCAGTGCTCAGCTGTGCACGTCCTTGTGACGGAGCATAGCAGTAAGTCAGATCCTGGGAGAAATTCCATAAATATGTCTTCAATCCCCAAGAAGCCTTTGAAGAAGGCTTCCAAAATGCACACAGTTCACAGAGCTCTCCCAGACTGTCTGAAACTTCCCAGTGTTGGGCACCATCAGTGAAGGGTTTCAGTCTCCCTGGTACCCATGCATTGGTCAGGCCATCGTTCTGCCTCCCTGGTCCCATCCTGCTGCCCCTTGAGCCCCTTCTGCTGTCCCTGGAAGCTGCTGCACCTTCTAGGAAAGGTCTGTGGTTGTGCAATGCACCGTCCTCATGCAGTGGGATGTTTCCTTGGCCTGGGGGGATTTTCTTAGGCTTGGTGGTTCCCTCCACACTCAGTCATGTGTGCCCCTCTTCCTCTAGTTCCCCTTAACCTACCACTCCCCAGGTTTCATGAGTTCTGCATCCGTGGCTGGTGCATTGTTGGGAAGAAGCAGACGTGTCCATACTGCAAAGAGAAGGTGGATCTCAAGAGGATGTTCAGTAATCCGTATCCTTTCTTCTGCTGGGAGCCAGCACTGTGGGAAGGAGAGCAGTGGGTAGAGCACATAAGGGGTGAGGGGCTCATCTCACCTTGGGTAAGCCACTGCAGCCCATGACAGTGGCAGAGACCCTGCAAAACCCAAGGCAAGCCTGGCCACAGCTTTCCCTCTGTGGGGACCCATGTCTGTCCTTCCCTGGGTGCCGGTGTCCGTCCCTCCCTGGGCACCTGTGTTCTCTGTCCCTGCTTTGGGGCACCTTTGGGTGGCTCCTGGGTGGGCCGTGCTCCTCTCACCCATCTCCCCATGGCTCTTTAACTCCTTCCTGCCCAGCTGGGAGAGGCCTCACGTAATGTATGGGCAGCTGCTGGACTGGCTGCGCTACCTGGTGGCCTGGCAACCGGTGATCATCGGACTGGTCCAGGGAATCAACTACATCCTGGGGCTGGAGTAAGCGCAGGCGGTGGGGAGCCGCAGAGCCACGAGAGGACGTGTGCCCAGGGCCGGGGACAGTTGCCACCGGGGATGCTGGCTTTGCTCCATCACCTCTCAGGACCTCGGCCACCCCTGAGGACAGCAGCACTGGGGCCCCTCCTGCCAGAGCTGAGGGAGGATTTTTTTAAAAAGCAATTATTTTAATGAGCGTATTTAAAACTTTCTATTGCAGCTGAAAAGAGACACTCGTCCCCTTTCCCTGCCCCTCTCGGGTCCTTCGCAGCACCCCGCTGGGCTGAGCTTTGGGCTGGGGGCTGTTCTCCAGCTCCCTCCTGCCGCTCTGCCAGGGGAGGCCATGGGGAGAAGGGCCGAGGCTTTGCCGGCTCCGACGCTGGCACCCCGGAGCAGCCTTGCTGGCAGCGAGGATGGGATATGGGGGCTGCAGAGGAGAGGCTGGAGCCCAGTGCCCTGAAAGAGGGGACAGAGGGATGCCTGGCAACCCCAGGCTGCTGGGTCCCCTTCTGGGTGCCATGGGTGTGCCGGGAGGAACCAAACTGCTCACTGGCACGGTGATGGTGGGCTCTGTCTCGGGGAACCCTTTTATATGCTCCCAAATTTTCTATGTTTCTCCCTGAAGGCCAGCGTTGTCTCCTGGCTGTTCGGGGTTGTCAGCCAGGGCATGGAGTGGGACCGGTGCTGTTCCTCTCTCTGCGCCCTTTTGGGTGACGGTGACGGTACATCAAGAGCAGCCCAGGAGTGGGTGCCCCTGCCCCAGGGCGTGGGGGCCTCCTCGCTGGGTGTTGCTCTTCTTGGCACTGGAATAAAAGGGATGGAGCGAAGGTTGTGCTGGTGCTGGCATTTCCTTGCCCCGGCATTGCACCATGGCATCCTCCTGGCCATGCCTGTGGGAGCCGTGCCGCAGTCCTGCTGGTGTGAGGGGCCTCAGGCTCATCTTTTGGCACTGGGTGGGGGCAAAGTCCCTCGAGGGCCAATGGTGGTCTTTTGGCATGCAGATACTTGAGCCATATCGTCTGAGGAGACTGGGGTCTGGTGAGGGGCTATGAGGCAGCTCCTGGCTTGGGGGATTTGGGAAGTGGCCACAGCAGTGGTGTGGCTGTGGGCACCACGTGGGCTGTGTGCCCCCCCTCCCCAGGGAACCCCAGCGCCCTGTTGCGTCATTTGGGTTTTCTTTCGGGGGAAACCACATTGCAGTGTCGTGCCAAACACCAAAATAAGAGTCCTGGAAATGGAGACGTGGCGCTGGGTTTTTCTTGATCGTCTTCCCTGCTCCAGGGTGAGGCCATGGTTCCTCCTTTCGGCTCTCCCAGGGGGACAGATATCGTGTGGATGGCAAACAAGCACCTGTGGCACCCAGAGCTCAGCTGGTTGGTGTTGGTGGGAGCAGGGAGGTGGCAGAGGAGCACAGGCACTGGGTGCTGCCATGAGAGTGGCCTCTGGCCCGTCACTGCCCACTGGACATCCATGGGTGCTGTGGGGAGGATGTGGCTGCTGACCTCATCCCGGCAGGAGGACAGGGACATATTTCACTTGGCAGGTCCCCAAGATAAACATTCCTGTTCCTGCCACCTTTCTGCCCTGCTGGGAACAGGGATAACGAAACTCACTGGGGAATTAGGGACTTTTTACCAGGCAGTGCCAGGGCCTGCAGCTCAGGTGGCTGTGCCTGCACTGGCTCCTGGCCTTGAGGGTGCTGGGGAATTGGACTGGTGGGTTGTTGAAACTGTGTCTGCTGCCAAGGGACTGGTTCAAGGGATGAGGGGGCTCTACTGTGGGACAGGGGAAAGGATCCTGGTCCTGCCCTTGCTCAGGCTTCCCACAGCCAAGCACCAGCGTGAAGCCTGGGTTGGGTCCTGGGGGGTTCCTCTGTGCTAAGCTGTTGTCCTGCCCCAGGTGGGACACCCGGGGGTCAGCGGGCTGTGCATGCTCAGTCCCCTGGGGGCTTAACCCACCTCCCTCTCCTCTTGTGCAGACCCTGCCTTGCCCCTGACCCCAGAGTGTCAGGGGGCAAACCAGCAGGTCCCAGAGTCCTGTGACGCCCCTTGGCTCAGCCAATGCCCCACGTGATGGACACGGGGGCCCAACCGAGCCCCGCTCCTTCATCCCTGGGGGCCCGTGGATGCTCGCCCAGGAGCGGGTGGGACACACGGTGTGCTGATCATGGGCTTGCCTGAGGGGCGTTCGCCCCAGGCGTAGGGGACATGGAGCATAGGGGGCGTGGAGTGCTGGGGACA